CCCCATTCCTGCAATATCTCCCACTGCGCTGCCTGTTTCAAGCCGCGTGCCGTTCCGTGGGTTGGGAGGAAACAAAATGCTGGGAAAACGTAACGAAACATAAGATCTGGCTCGAGTGTGACGTTGAGGCACGGGGGACACAGAAAGCAGGCTCGCTTCCCCTTGCGTGCTTCGCTAAGATCCCTTTTCCTCTCCGCGAAAGAGAAATAGTCATTGGGCAAGTGGTGCAGCGGAAACTTAAGTGCTGCATTGGGGAGGCTTATTGGATGCTGTGAAAGCAATAATTCCCTTGTATTAGATTGGCTAGTGTCCCAAAAGGCAGTAGCATCTGACACAAGTGCCATCTGTCCATGCTGATTCTTTGCAAGACAGGCATGCATTAGAGCAGGTGATGGAGGGGTGTGTGTGTTTGGAATGTAAGTGGATTGTACTAGGGAATGATGTAGGCTAAATCTAGGCCCAGGATAATCCTATGAAAGGGCTACTGGTGGCAGATGTTCCTCTCCCTACACATAGATTTACTCTCTGTAGGAATAATTTGTTTAGACCTTTCTGCTTCGCAGATCAGGAAGCTGACTGTATCCGTTCTCTCTTTCTGGGAGGGGGTCAGCTGATGGCTTGCAAGTGGTGTGATTGCGGTAAGCCACTCAGGCTGGCTGCAGACAGTGCAGTTGTCGCTGTATGCTGAAATGCTTCTTCATTTTTCACTAGATCACAGAATGGAAAAATCCATTGCCTATTTCCTCCTTCTCTGACTAAGACTTTCTGTGCTATGAGAACTGTGATCATGCCATGAAATGCCACATTCTTTATTGAGCTACATAGAGAAATCCCCTCCCTTGGGAAAGGGGACACATAGTATCTTGATAAAAAATGATGATCCTCTCCCAATGGGTGTCATGGAAATCCTTTCTAAAGTTCAGGAAATATGGCCAGAGGCTAGTTGACTAACAACTGCAGATCCAAAACTTACTACTTCAGGATCCCAGAAATTCAAAGGCCATGTTGGGACTCAAAAGATCTCTTGCTGAAGCATTGACCACAGACTACTTAGATTGGGACAGGGCCCTGATAACATGAGCACCGTAACTTGACAAGGGACAATCTTCTATAGACATTGAAGGTGAATATACCTAGAGGAAATGACAATGCTTGCAACTGGGGAAACTGAACGGAATGTGGTTCCCCTCATTCCCACTGCAGTACTTGCCAATTGGACCATGTTACTCTGTTACCCTTGTCACTGGTGTCTTTAGACACAGCCGGAGATCATTTGTGCCTTAGACCATGCTCTTTGCGTCGCAGTAAGCTTTCAGGGACTCTGTAAAGACAAGACATGTCATAAACTGGTTCCTTCACTTCCTCCCACAGCGTGAGTGCATCTCTATCCACGTTGGCCAGGCCGGTGTCCAGATTGGCAATGCCTGCTGGGAGCTCTACTGCCTGGAACATGGGATCCAGCCTGATGGCCAGATGCCCAGTGACAAGACCATCGGTGGAGGAGACGATTCCTTCAACACCTTCTTCAGCGAGACAGGTGCTGGCAAGCACGTGCCCAGGGCTGTCTTTGTGGACTTGGAGCCAACGGTGATAGGTAGGTATGCGAAGCCATCATCTAACTGCTTTCAGGGCTCCCCTGTAAACTCATATGCAGATAGCAGATGCTACTATGTATGGATGATGGGAAGAGACAGACTCTCTGCATTTCCTCTCCCCAGATGAAGTGCGCACTGGAACCTACCGCCAGCTCTTCCACCCTGAGCAGCTCATTACTGGCAAGGAAGATGCTGCCAACAACTATGCCCGTGGGCACTACACCATTGGCAAGGAGATCATCGACCTGGTTCTTGACAGAATCCGCAAGCTGGTAAATAATGCTCATAAGGGGTTTAATTCTGTATCTATTGATGTGTGGTAGGGAAGGGAAAAATCTGTAACACCCCTACCTCTGGTTACATTTTTCAGGGACAGCTGCCATGCCAGAGGAGTCTAAGGGCCTGCTCCTAGCTCCCCTTTTTTTGGAGGGTTAGTCTTGTAGTAGTCAGAACCTGGGGGTGGCTCTGAAGGAATGTCAAATATTGGTTATGTGGTGTTTACATTTGGTGGAGGTCTCTGCATGTTCTAGTACTGACGTGTCTGATGCTTAGGTCACTCAGTATTTTCGTGGCTTGTGACTTATTCTAATAAAGGCTTAGATTCGACAAATCATAACTTCCTGTAACCCCTGGCTGTAAACCAATGCAGTGTAGACAAGGTAGAAGAGCAGCTCTGAAGTGAGGAACTCCCCCAATGCACACATTTCTAACTACCCCTCTCACTGGGCAGTAACTAAAAATCTTAACAGTAACATCTTACCTGTGAAATAGTCTCATTCCTGAGCACTCTGATATTAGAGCAGCATGGGAGTGACAGGCTGAAAGTGGTGCAGTCAAGAAGATGGCAGAGGAGAGGCAATGTAAAGGCAGGGAAACGGGGAGATACACCGTAAGTGGTGCACATCGTCCCAACTGAGTTCAGTGAATACTGAGCAGATAATTACTGCATTCAAGAATCCTACTACCCTTGGTTTCTGTGCAGATCTCCCATTGACCTTCTTTACCTACACAATGGAAATTTGACCCCCCTCAAAATGTCTGCTTGCCATTCATGCATCAAATGTTCCTGGAAGAATGAGACCTGATATTTAATGGGAGGGAGAACTGGTGATTCTGGGTGATCTTGCTAATGATTCATCCCCCTTCCTATGGCATCTGATGTTCTGTTTGAATGACTTGGCTTTCCTAAACAAGAACTGGGTGCCACAACTAAACTATCTGCTGAGGCCCTACTAGGACTGCTGCCATAGAAGGGACTTTGAACAGATGTGAGGCTGAGGGTGTCTTCTGTGTTCAGGCTTCTGCAACCTGTAGTTTTTGAAGTAGAGTTACTGTGCACTTCTGTCTCATTCCCTTCTGGGAATGGAATTTGCTGGCTACCCTCTAGCAGCATTGCTCTGGTAAATCTTCCACAGTATGCAAGTGGAGGGATTTAGAATTAGGAGGAGTCTTCCATGCCTTAGGGTGAACGTTAAGGATGTTAAGGACTGGTTGACTATCCAATAAACAAATGCTTATCGGATAGGATAGGAGTCGACTAGTCCATTCTCCTCCTTGCTGCCTCTTATCAGAGGCAACAAAGCGGGGAGGGGCAGATGGGAGAGAGGGGACTTCAAAGTGGCAGCACTGTACAGAGCCCATACCCGGGCTCCATGTGGTGCTGCCACTTTGAAACACCACCTCAGTGTTTCAAAGCAGCAGTGCTGCACAGAGCCTGGGTTCAGCTGGGGACTCCCTAGCTGATCCTGGGTTCCCATGAACACTACCTAGAGCCTGGGGTCAGCGGGGGACTCTGAGGGTGTTTCCATTTTGAAATGCACAAGAGCCCCTGCTGGAGACTCTTGTACATTTCAAAACTGGCACGCTGCATGCAGCCTGGGGCCAGTGGCAAGTCCTGCTGACTCCAGGCTCCACGAGTGCACTTACTCTTTGAAATGCACAAGAACCCCAAGGACCCTGTGGATTCCAGAGTCAGTAGGACTTCCTGCTGGCCTCAGGCTGCAGGCAGAGTTCCTCAGTCCTCCTTTGAAATATACAAGAGCCCTGGCTGGGGCTCTTGTACACTTCCTGGGAGGAATGCGGCAGTGCCTATTGAGTAGTTGATGGAAATTCCATCAACTACTCGACTAGTAAATTACTCATTAGTTAACATCCTTAGAACTTTCTACAGGGTGTGAATTTCCACCTGATGTCATCTAAGAGGGGCAGTATGGCCTCTAACTCTACACTCAAGTGTTTGAACAGAGTCATGATATCCCTGATACTTGCCTGCACCCCTTGTCCTGGAGTAATAGTGAAGTACCAAGCTCACTGGGAGTGCATGGCTTTTGGCTGCAGGCAGGGCTGTGAGAGGCTATCCGAAGCCATCTGGGAAGCCGAGCCTCGCTGAGAGTGAAGCCATGTCTAGACTTACCTGGAAGGTCAAATTAAGATACGCAACTCTAGCTATCTTAGTTTTATAGCTGGAGGTGGTCATGTATCTTAATTTGACCTTTGGCGCCATCTCCACAGTGGGAGCAAACATTCCTGTTGACTTCCCTTACTCCTCCTAAATCGAGGTGTATGGGCATCAGCGAGGGTGGGGGCCTCAGCATTCAATGTAGCTGCTCTTTACTAGGGATGTAAGAATGTAGCTGTGTGTAACTGGTTACCCAAACTCCCAAGGAGTGCTTGCCACAACCACTGCCTGTGTATCCATGGCAACAGCATGGGCAGGTCAGAGGAACTGGCTTAAAAGCTGGTTCCTGGGGAGTTGGCTGCCGCCCCATGTGTAACTGCTGGAATTTTCAGCAGTCGTAATTAATTATCCACACTTTAACATCTCTAGTATTTACTAGCTGAAACAAAAGACAGGACTATGCAGCACTTTAGAGACTAACAAGATGGTTTATTAGGTGACGAGCTTTTGTGGGCCAGACCCACTTTTGTATATATGGTCGTGACAATTTTCTTCCACATATTGATCTGAGGAAGTGCGTCTGGCCCACAAAAGCTCATCACCTAATAAACCATCTTGTTAGTCTTTAAAGTGCTGCATAGTCCTGTCTTTTGTTTCAGCTAGACCAGACGAACACGGCTGCATCTCTATCGGTATGCAAGTATTTACTGCTGGGAGAATTGATGCTGTAGCATTCAATCTTCCAGGGTTCGATTTAATGGGTCTAGTAAAGACATGCCCTTGGAGCCCAAATCCAAATGGAATATGCTAACAATCATAACTATATGCTGCTGCACTTAAAGGGAGACAGTTACCAATCCATGAGAAGACCTTCCCTCTACCCCAAAGGATCATAAGCGAAGTTATCTGTCATGCGATAAGAGGGAAAGTCCTCCCATGGCTTGGTAACTGGCTAAAAGGTAAGAAACAAGATAGGTATAAATTGTCTGTTCTCAGAATGCAGAGAGGTAAATGGTGGTGTCCTCAGTTTATACAGGGACAATCCTAGTCTACATATTAATCTAGTCTTGAAAAAGGGGTAAATGGTAAGGTGGCAAAATGTGCCAAATATACAAAACTACTCAGATACAGTAGTTAAGTCCCAGGCAGATTGCAAAGAATGGTGGCAGATGAAATTTCATGTTGATAAATGCAAAGTAATGCACACTGGAAAAACTATATGTATAAAACGATGGGGTCATCGTTGTGCAGTGGCAGTCAAAGCAAACAGAATGTTGGAATGGAATAGAAGAGAAGAAAACCTAATGCCTCTAAAATCTATGGTATGTCCACATCTTGAATACTAATGCAGATGTGGTCACCCCTTCAAGAAAGATATAGTGGATTTGGGAAAGGTTCTGAAAAGAGTAACCAGTATGATTGGGGTAAGGAGCAGCTTCTGTGTGAGATTGGAAAAGCTATTTTATTAAGCTGAATAGTCTTAAGTGGATATGATTGAAGTCTATAAAATGAGTAAGGAATTACTAGTTACTCTGTACATAACACACAAACTACGGATTACCAAATACAATTAATATGCTGATAGTTTAAGAGAAGGAAGTTTTTCTTTACATAATACAGTTAACCTGTGGAACTCTTTGCCAGAGGATGTAGTGAGGGCCAAGACTACAACAGGGTTCAAAAAAGCTAGATGGCCATTGATGGACTTAATGTCCATGAAGTTATTAGCCAGGATGAACAGAGATGGCGTCCTTAGCCTCTGTTAGAAGCTGGGAATGGATCACTGTTCTGTTTGTTCATTCGGGGGTAACTGTCCAAAGACTGGATACTGGGCTATATGGACCTTTGATCTGGCTCCAGCATGGCTGTTCTTATGACTAGCAGTTAGCACAAATGTCATCTAAAGGACGTGCCATCCTCCCTACCTGTAGAAATGGGAGATGTGCATTACTTAGATGGTGAGGTCTTTGGACAGGTCACTTTTGGTGCTTTTTACAGTACCTAGCACAATGGAGGACTTGTCCAGGACTGGGGCTTTGATCTACTCTGGAGTATGCGATAACATCTTGTGTAGATGGCAGCATGGCTCTCGCGCTCTCCCTGTGGTGGTGCATTCCAGAGTTGTAATGGCCTCAAGGCTTCACAGGCTCATGTTTATGGGAAATACACGAGTGAAGTCTGACAGTGCCACTGTATACTAGTAGCTTAAGGATCCATGTTGGATAGATCTCAGGGATAAAAGGCAGATGGGCAGTGCATTTAACTGACTGGGGACTGACGAGAACCTGTCCACAGCACTAACAGATTTACACTCTGCTGAGGGAATAGTAGATACTTTGTCAAGTCCTAAATGTAAGAATTTTCTTCCAAATGTAAGGCATCTCATCAGTAAATGATCAGTGACAGATGGGAGACCACTTTTTTCCTCATTCCATGTAGCCTTTATGTGCAGCATGACCTCTACTATATCCCTCTTTTTTTTTTATTTTTTTAATCTCATTTCTAATAGGCTGATCAGTGCACAGGTCTCCAGGGCTTCCTGGTCTTCCACAGCTTTGGGGGTGGCACTGGTTCAGGGTTCACCTCCCTGCTGATGGAGCGTCTGTCTGTTGACTATGGCAAGAAATCCAAGCTGGAGTTCTCCATCTACCCAGCACCTCAGGTCTCCACCGCTGTGGTGGAGCCCTACAACTCCATCCTGACCACCCACACCACCCTGGAACACTCTGACTGCGCCTTCATGGTGGACAACGAGGCCATCTACGACATCTGCCGCAGGAACCTGGACATCGAGCGCCCAACCTACACCAACCTGAACCGCCTGATTAGCCAGATTGTGTCCTCCATCACCGCCTCCCTGCGATTCGATGGTGCCCTGAATGTAGATCTGACAGAGTTCCAGACCAACTTGGTGCCCTACCCCCGTATCCACTTCCCTCTGGCCACCTATGCCCCTGTAATCTCTGCTGAGAAAGCTTACCATGAGCAGCTTTCTGTAGCAGAGATCACAAATGCTTGCTTTGAGCCGGCCAACCAGATGGTGAAATGTGACCCTCGCCACGGGAAATACATGGCCTGTTGCCTGTTGTACCGTGGGGACGTGGTTCCCAAAGATGTCAATGCTGCTATTGCCACCATCAAGACCAAGCGTAGCATCCAGTTTGTGGACTGGTGCCCAACTGGCTTCAAGGTTGGTATCAACTACCAGCCTCCCACAGTGGTTCCTGGTGGTGACCTGGCCAAGGTGCAGCGGGCTGTGTGCATGCTGAGCAATACCACAGCCATAGCTGAGGCCTGGGCTCGTCTGGACCACAAGTTTGACCTGATGTATGCCAAGCGTGCCTTTGTTCACTGGTACGTAGGGGAGGGGATGGAGGAGGGGGAGTTCTCGGAGGCGCGGGAGGATATGGCTGCTCTGGAGAAGGATTATGAAGAGGTTGGTGTGGATTCTGTTGAAGGGGAGGGTGAAGAGGAAGGGGAGGAATAGATTAACCCTCTTAAATCCCTGCAGCATGTTCAGTGTCCACAAAACTTCATCTTAAAACACTTAGCTTGCTTGTGAAGTAGGGATGGCACCACATTGGTATGAACAAGCCTTTAAGGAGTACAGCAACCTGACTAGCTTGTCCCACAGTTTCACAACGTGATCATGTCAATTTTTCATTTGTCTTTGTAAACAATCATGTCTGTGAAATAAAAGCTTTAAAATACTGTAGTGTGTGTGCATTTAGAGTTTAAACTGTAGCTCATAGATCAGTTGGTAGAATCTGCAGTGAGCACCTTGGCCAATTAGTTTATAATGCCTCTGTCAGGTTAGCTTCCTTCAAAAACTAAACACAAACATGAGCCTCCTGCTCCTCATTGCACTAAGAGCCACTGCGTGTGAATGAGAATCTTTACTATAAACACATCCCTCAGGGATAGTCACACAGGTCCAGTTAGTCAGAAAATAGCCTCAACTGTTCTGCTTCGCAGGTAGTGTTCCTGGCAAGGTAAAACATGGACACAAGGCACTGCATTGTGACAAGGGCCTTACATGCTCAGTGACATAAAGGACAGGGTGGAATGTTCCTGTTTGAAAGCTAGGCTTTACCAGGCATCAATCCATCCACTGGATCAGGGTGTAGGCATAAGAGGCCTGATCAGGTGCCTAATGAATCTGCTTATGGCTGGTTTTTTTTTTTTTTTTTTTTTTTTGAGTGACACAGCTTGTTACAAAGTTCTGGAGATCAGCTTATTGAAAGCTAGGATTTAACATGCTCTTAAAGCAAGCTTGTGTTGAGCACCTGCAATAGCCCAGCAGGACAGAGCTATGGCTGCATTTTGAATAAACCCAGTCAAGGCAACTACACAAATTTTTGAAGGACAACTACAGTTTCTGCCTCTTCAGGCAGGGGGAGGTAGACTGGCTTACAGCAAAGGCTACTACTGCACAACTCCAAAGTGAGGCTCAGTTTCACAGCTGATGTGATCAGGCCTAGAGATTCATTGCAGGTTGCATTTTTACAATGTGCGGTCTGACCAGTCTGCAGTGATTGGTGTTGGCAGAAGAAAGAGATGGGTCTGGCAATTCCTGACCTGAAGGGTTATGCAGTTGCTCAGTGGCCCCACACTGTTGCCTCTTTCTGCCAAGATGGCCTGGTGGGCTGGAATTACTGTTACGAACAGATTAGAACAGCATCTGAAAGGTTAATGGGTCTCTAGCAACAATACAAAGCTTGTAATTCCTTGTTGCAGCTCTTCCTTCTCTGGCCATCTGAATCATCACCTGATTTGTGTTCCTCTTGTGTGGTGCACCAGCTCTTGCTGCAGCTCCAAATACCTCCCATTTACATGGAGACTTAACGAAAGCCCTAGGGTCTTTCTGCTTTAGGAAGCTCTAAACCCATGTATTTCTGTTGCTACAGCTGCAAGTGAAGTTTGTTTTAAGTGGGATCTGCTCTGGTAAGCTAGAGGAGCAAGCCCCTTATAGAATGCTTGCTCATGTCCATTCCAAGTTGGGTATGTGCCATGTGCACCAGTACTAGAAGCTTATCCCTTAGCAGTACCTGTGGGGAAGGGACTCTTGTGACCCCTGGAGTGGCACCCTTATGATGGGATGTAAGGGATGCCATATACTCCCCTCACCCTCAGTTTCTTCCTACTGCCAGTGATGGTGCATTGATTATTCTCTCCTGCTTCAGCAGTTCCTTTTCCTAGTTACTGCTGTGAACAGTGTTGTAAATAGTTTTCTTCTCAGAGCTGGAGTTCAGTAGACCTGCCCTGAGTCCTGGGGTTTAAGAACTGATCCGTATAAGAAGCCAATGCTGGTCAGTGACATCCCACCCTGATACTCCTGGCTTACGTTGCCTGGGGGATACCTACATTACAATAGGTGTCAAATTTGTAAGAGCTTTAAGCCACCTACGGAAAAAGTGAGATGTTAGACTGGAGGAGCTTCTTATGGGATCGGTGCTGGCACTGGAGTTGGACTCTGCAGGGTGCTGTGGCCACATTGCCCAGCTGTTCCCACTTTTGGAACCCTGATGATCCACGTCCCCAGCACCATCTGTCAGAAGACCTGGAGAGGCTGGCGTCCTCCTTGTGAGGGTAAGGAGAGGGCAGGAGGTGAGCTTAGACCCTTGCCTACAAGGCATTGCGTCTCAGCATTGGTCAAGCAGGATGGTGGCACTGGAGTCGAGCACCTGGAAATGCTATTGAGCCTGGAGGCCCTTGAGTGATGCAGGTTGTATAGTCCCTACCACCCACTTGCTTGCAGTTTTCAGCAGTGAATGAGCAAGAGGGGCAGGGACAAGCCACTCCCCAGGAGGCAGGCCTCTTGAAGACTTCATTCATCAGTGAGCCTACAGCTTGGGTGGCAAGCCATCATGCTCTATTGGGCTGCTGTGATTTCAATTTCTGGCACTCCGTGGCCAAATGTTTCCTCCCTCCCCAGGTCCCAGGAAAGCATTCCAAGTCCTGGAAGAGGGCCAAGGAGTGGCTATGGTGGCTTTACAGACAGCTTTGGATGCTGCTGACTCATGGCAGAGGCCATGGACCGTGCCACTCACTATGGGGAGGGTGACGTGGCTCCAGTCCTTAGGAGTGGTGGTAAGGCACAACTCTGTGGGGCCTCCCCTCTGATGGCCTGGCCCACGTTTGCAGAGCAGGAGCTGCACAGGTTTGGACTCGTGTACCAAACTTAGGGTCCTAAGCATTTATATCCCAGGGCAGGAGAGAAAGTGGTAAAGCCGCACCCAGCAGCATAGTCAGCCCAGGCAGGACCCCTTCCACAGAAAGGGAAAACCCTACAAGTGCCATCAGGGTCAGCAGCCCTCCTCTCAGCACAGGTGCCTTACTGCCTTCCGCATAGCTCCAAGGAGGCATTTTCAACTTCAGGGACAAGGGGTTCTCATGTTACTTTCTAATCCCAAAGGCCAAGGGAGATCTACTCATCCTGGATGGAGACAATCTCCACAAAAAGCTCAAGAAGTTGAAACTTTGTATGGTCTCCCTGGATCCAGGAGACTGGTATGCTGCCCTCAACTTGAAGGCCACTTACTTCCACATAGCGCTCTTCCAAGGCACCAGCACATCCTCCATTTCATGGTGGGTCAAGTGCCTTACCAGCTTGCTGTGTTGCCATTCAGCCTAGCTATGGCACTGGGTTTTTACAAAACGCAAGGCAGTGATTGTGGCCTACTTCAGACATTGGAACATCCTTATCTATCCATTCCACAATGACTTGTTGACGGGACACTCTGGGTCTCAAGTCGTGGACACAGTTGAGATGTTGCAGTCCACATGCAAATGGATAGGCTTGTTGATAAATGAAGAAAAATCAACATTCGTCCCTGTTCAATGGTGTGAACCTAGATTTTATACCAGGGTGTGGGCTTTCGTGCTGCTAAGCAGGTTCTAGGCATGGATCTCATTGTGGGAGTTTCCACCTACACAATCAGGGTCTCAGACGGCTGGGCCATGTTGCAGCGTGCATGGGTGTGACTGTTCTGGCAGTGGCTAGTGGTGGTCTATGTCTCATTCAGGGATCACATGGTGGACAAAGGGATCACTATTCCACTGGCTGTGCACAAATGGTGGACAGACCCAAAAATGGTCTTCCAAGTGATACCATTTGACCGCCCCCATCCTTCAGTATCCCAGAGCTCGGATGCCTTCGATATGAGGTGCACCTTGGAGAGATGCAAATGCAACGTATGTGGTACCCAGAGGAGCTGACATTGCACATAAACAATGAGCTCAGGGCAGTTTGCAGAGCCTGCACAGAATTCTGCCCACAGCTGGAGGACTGTGGGGGCTGAGAGTGTTGACAGACAACGTGGCCTCCATGTTCTACATCAGACAAGCAGGCGTGTGCTCTTCAGCCCTCTGCAGGGGTGGGGAGCCACATTTGAGAATCCTTTATGCAACACACGATACACCTGGAGATGTTTCACCTTCCTGAACCCATTGGTGGATTTCCTCAACAGCTCCTTCTTGCCTCCCTATGCGTGGTCCCTCCACTCAAAGATGGTTGAATGCTCTTCCAGAGGTGGGGGGACTCCCCAAGTGCACCTGCTCCTCATGCAGCAAAATGCAGTGTTGTCAGTTAGCTCTGCCACTGGGACTCCACAGGGAGCAAATCTCAGATGCCTTTCTCCTGTCTTGGTTGGAGACCTGATGTCCACGTTCATGCCTGTTCCTCTGATCAGCAGAGTCCGGGCAAAGATTAAACCCAAGGCCCAAGTCATCTTGATCATGTGGGTGTAACCATGCCAGCATTGGTTGGCAATGGCATGCTCTTGGACTTGGCTATAGCCCTGCAGTGGTGATTACCTGGACTGCCTGTTGCAGGACCATGGTCATCTCCTGCACTCCAGCTGCGCCTTCCTCCACCTCATGGCATGGCTGACCCTGGAGGAGCAGGCATGCTCTAGGGAAGGACAGGAGATAGTTAGGCAGCAGGAAGCCCTTCCCTAGGGCACTGACATGGCTAAATGGGCAAGGTTCTCCCTTGGGGTGATGGAGCTGAGTATCTCCCCCATAGACTCATCCTTGTAGGCCTTACTGGAATACCTGCTTCTCCTGGCAGGGACAGGCCCTGATTCTTCCTTTCAGGTTTGTTTAGAGGCCATCTTGGCACTCCACCCTCTGATTCAGGGCAGGTTGTTTTTTTTGCATAAGATGTTGGCTTGGCTCTTGAAAGGCTCTTCCCTCCGGTCAAGAACTCCATTCCCCAATGGGACCTCAATCTGATCCTCTTTAGGTTGCTGGCTGTGGAGACTCCTGGAATCGCGCCTCTTGGGTGCTGCGTAAGGGGCCCTTTTAGCCACTGAGCTCACGTTCCCTGGCTCACTTACCATGGAAGGTTGCATTCCTCATGGCAGTGATGTCAGAGCTTAAAGTGTTGACTTCAGAGCCATTGTTTTAGTGTTTCATAAAGACATGGTCCAGCTCTGACTCTACGTGGCCTTTTTATGAAAGGTGGTATCATCCTTCCATTGTATTTTACCCTAAGCCACACAGCAAGGAGAGGAGGCTGCACATGCCAGGCATCAGATATGCCCTGTCCCCCTCTTTTTAAAAACCTGCAGCATACCAGGCCTTTGGGGAAATCGTCCAAACTCTTCAAGGCGGGTTAAAGGGCCTTCTAGTGTCTACACAGAGGGTCTCCAGTTGGATCACCTCCTGCATTATGGCATGCTACAGCCGGCAGTGCGTCCTGTCGCTGCCGGT